AGAAAGGTGTTTAATTTCTCCATGATTGAAATTGTCCAATCCCTGCCCCACAAAATGGAAATTACCTTTTGGTTTTCAGTTTTTAAAATTTATTTTCACTTCTAGTTAAAAAAACCCAATTTGGGAAATGTGGGTAAAAAAAGTTTTTACCAAATAAGTTAATTCTTTTGGGAAATTTTTTTAAAAAAATTTTAAAAAGGAATTTTTTAATTCCCATTTGGACCAGTTTTTTTTTTGGAAAAAGATTGAGGTGTTTACTGAAAAAAGGAAAACCCAAATTTCAAAATAACAAGAAAAAAACAAGAGAGCACACTAAATGGAGGGGGTGCAGCAAAAGGGTCCCCTAAAACAAAAGGTGAAAAAAATCCTAGAGTTGAATTTAATCTTTTTAGAAAAAATTTTGGTTTTAAAAAATGTGTAAAATGATTTTGGATGCCTTTTGAGAAACACCCATTTTGAAAAAATAACAGGAAATTGTAAATTATTTAACAGAGTTTAAAAATTTTGGAGATATATTAACTGTAAGATTAAGAAAAAATTTAAAAATAACTTTAAAGGTAAGAAATTTTACGGTTTTTTTTTAATTTTTTTAAATTAGGGGGTTTTTAATTAGAAAATTTAAAAAATAAACAAAAATAAAAAAATGGGGTTTTATTTGAAAAAAAAAGTATAAATTTTAAAATTCCTGAATTTACATTGTACACCCTTGCCTTGTCTTAAAAGTTAACATCATAAATGTTCACCAAGAAAGCAATAGGCACAAAAAGAGACTGTTCTTTCCTCATTTCCCTTTGTTGTAAAAAGTCTAGGTATGCAGGTTGTCGCATGAAAAAAAACTAAATCATGCTTTGACTATCACCTCATATGCATAAAAATGTTTTTGAAAAGTTACTGTAACTAAACCCCTGTGAGAAAACGTTTTTCCCTTTATCAGCTGACTCAATCAAAAGGGGGGCACTTCAGAGTAAACTTCCCAAGAAAACCAAGTGTGGGGATAACATACCCTTTATGTTTTACCCAATTAACCTAATCTACGGGGCATTTGCATTGCCAAAAGAAATTTTCAAAACCTCCTTTACCATATTAAAGCACCTTTTTTTTCCGGACAAACCCAAAACCGCTCAAGTTTTTTATTTCGCCAACTTATGCCATATGTTTATGATGCTTTTTTGCAGCTTTTTGGTAATATTTTTAAACGATTTAAGCTTTTTTTTTAAAAAAATTATGTTTGCCTTCATACCTCTACACCAACTATGAAGTACAGGCCCCTATTTTCTGGATGCAGCGGGGATAGTGGATAAGAAAATGGTGCTTTGGTAAAAGTTTTTTCTGAGGATACAACTTCTTAAACAGTGTATGGTGATCAACAATCAAATGTTTTAAATATACACATAGACCTTGAGATAACATGGGCGAGAATATAATGTTAATTATTTGCAATAATAAAGAAGCAGGCCCCAGTGTTGGTCAGTAGAAGTTACCAAATCTCCAAAGATAAGAGGAACATTCCTAAGTAAGCACCAGACTGAATTGCATTCAGTCCCAGATCATTAGATCCTTCACTTAAATTAACAGTCACAGGCCTGTTATTTCTCTCTGTGAAACCATAATCAAAACTTTGTATTCCTTGAATGTATTTCTCCTGATGTAACATGTTTTTCATTCAAATACAGAAATAATAACTTCAATTCGTACTGGCCAACCCCTTCTAACACATCATGCATCACATCAACTGAGAAGTTCTCAGTTGTGTGAAAATACCCTCAATGAATTTAATATGCATGACCTTTTCACACCAAAAACATACGGAAGGGATGGATTACAAGCCATTTCTTGACAGTGAGCAGTATGCATATCTTTGGTGCGTAAAACTATTTTGGAAGAATCTTCAGAGAATTCTGTTTGAAGTCCTCCTTTTCTGATAAACAGAACCTGCAACAGTACCTTGCACTGAAAGACTCCACCAGACCAAACAAACTATGCAAACCCAAATTATCACCTGTTACCTGTACTACAGTGCCACGTACATAACCACTGTATAATGGAATCTCAATACCATCGCTCTCTAACACTTTAATGTCTCGAACAATGGGAGCAAAAATTTCACTAAAACCATATCGTTTAACATCTTGAGTATGAAATAAGGCGCACAGGTGTATGTTTAGCCAAAAAAGAATTCCATTTTGGAGAGAAGTTTCTTAAAGTAAAATATACTCCACCCAATTTATGAATACCCTCGCTTGGAACCCAATGGGTTGGCGACCTCAAAATCATCATAGAACATCTGGACCTGTATTGTCTGCTTCTCAGTTGAGAACAGGGGGTGACTTTTAAAAAAAGATCCATCACAAATATCTCTCAGTCTAGAGTTTGCTGGTAGCTGAGCTTTGCAACATTTCCTGCAAAATACTGACTTTTAAATATTGACTGCAGTGTAGATAAATTGGAATATACATGAATTTATCTTGAACTACTTACCTGATCATATGTTCCAGTCTTTTTATTTCGTCTTGTGTCAAATCTTGAACCAATCACACATTCAACTGGTTCTACTATTTCCCACTTCGCAGTCATAAATTTTGATCGCTTGTATTCCGAATTTAGAACTGTGAAAGGATTCTCTAACCCCTCAAAACACGCCTCAACTTTCTTGCACATTTCTGTTTCTCTTTCATTACTAAATACATGCTTTATCACTGTTTCTTTAGCATGCTGATGAATATCTTGAACAATCTCTTCCATGGAAATCACTACAGTATTTACTGTACTTTGACCAACACCTGCTGCCTTTAGATCAGAAATAACAGCTGCACAACTATTTACAATGTATGGCGAAGATAACTCTGACTCAGCCTCTAAACATTCAGTCGACACTTCAACATGAGAAATATTACTGGTGTTGACGGTACTTTGAGGGTCTGAAAGATCATCTTCTATAGAATCTACTAAACTTTCTCCGTGGCACTTGTTAAGATGTTTTCTAAAACCAGAAAAGCTACCAAAAGAACGTGAGCATCCTTCTTGACCACATTTCAGAAAAAGAGTCCTGCCTGTACATAGCCCATGAATTATCTTAAGGTGCTTAACAAGGTTGTTTGGACTTCCATGGTCACTTTTGCAAAGAAAACACTTCATAGTTTTATCTCAACTAACGCACCATTCTTGCTCGCAACTCAGCAACTCTAGGAGTCTCCTTTGTTTCCCCCATGTCGATGTTATAGATGGTTGTTTGCACAAGTGAAAAAGCTGCTCAAGGAAGAACTGTATGACGTACCAAATACGTAATGGGCTTTAAAGACTTCGTCAAAAGCTCCTACTGAACCTGTTGCCTTGCATGGAAGAGCATGCTTGTCAACCACAATGAAGTAGGAGTGAATGCTGCTCTGTGTGGATCCCTGGGCGAGAAGGTAGGGCTGACTGCTTTGGGTGATGTTGTCAAGATGCTGCTGCACACTGGTTCCAACCTACAAAAAAAAACACATTCAACAGAATTGTTTTGGTGACTAACCTCTGACAATAGATAAGATCACCTCAAACTGTGCACAAGATTGAGATGATGGAATATATATTTTAAACAACTGTTAAGCATACCTTTTGAAATCTGATGAGCTGATCTACAGCTTGATATGCAGACATCTTTCCCGGCCTCTTTCTACCTTGTGCAGATGGTGGTAGCAAATGTAGCAGCAGCAAGATGGCAGACATGTCACTGTCCCAGCCTACAAATAAGTAAATAAAAACCTGGTTAACATTGTGCCGTAGCATGACATTCTTATTCACAACTTGCACCATTATGGACATATAATGCACACCTACATTATCCACATAAAAAGTAAAACAGTTCATTCATACCATTCTCAACTTCAGCAGCTGACTCAGCATTGCGCATCAAATCCAAGAGTTCTGCGCGGCGGCCAGTCGCGTATAGCTGTAACAGCCGTTTTGTCGAAACAGCGCCACTGAATCAGTGTGTGGCCGAAAATATATTACATCCGTAGTGGTTTAGGACTACCATAGAGAATGAATGGGAAACGCTTTAGGGCTCTTTTTATTTTTTTCAGGCTGCCTTTTTCTTGAAACGCTTTTATTGGGGGTTCAATTCTAAACAAGGAAACTGTATTCTGATATTTTTTCCCCATGTATTGGGGAATTGAATGATAGATTATAATTAGATTTTGTCACTATTGGTTTTATTTGATCATGCAGTGTATTTTCCCAAGCCCAAAACACAGTGTACTTGAAGTGTATTACTTGGAACGTTTATATTGTACCTTTGTACACTAAATAGTTATATTTACTATACTATTTAGTATAAGTATAATTCAGTGTTTTAATATAGACCCACTTTTACTTGCTATTTTTGTATACTGATAACATATGATTGATGAATAATATTTCAGAACATTGATAATATACTCCAAATGTATTCAAAATATTATACATTCCCCATCTTATTTCAGGTGTACTAGTTTATATCCAGTGTATTAAAATAATAGTATTTTGTAATGGGATTTTCTGCTTTTGTGAAAGTGTTATTTTAAAGACCAAATTACTTCATTCATTTATGCTGATGTGAAATTAATTTAAAGATAACACCTTTCAAAATAATTAACACATTTATGTACTGCACATATTCTACCATAAGATTTTCCTCTTCAGTTAAAGATTGCAGTGGATTATTCTTACTTATCAGCCCTACCTGTTGAGGAAACAAAAGTACTTCATCCGATGACCTGGTAAAAACCTTCTTCAGCCCTGCAGTCGACTTGAATGCACAGACCAGCCTTTGACCTCCTTGCCAATCTTAACTTAGATTTAGGGTTACACAAACCAAACTTTTCTGTCAGTTGATTTTTCATGTACCTTGTGCCACAATGTAATTATAAGCAACCCTGTCTGACTTCATGTACAGTATGTTCAATATGTAAACATGAATTAAAGGCAAGAGAATTGTATTGAACTTCAAAATTGTTTTATTAAAAGATTATGGCCATTTTGTTTGTTTGTGTGTGTGTGTGTGTGGATGCGTGTGTGTGTGTGTAAATCAACATTTCCTCTTTTCATCCATCCATCTTTTCTTTTCATCATGATAAAAAGCAGATGCCTGGAACTCCTTCCAGGTCATTTCTTTCTCCATACCCTTGGCCTGGTAGAGGGAGAACAGCTTGGCAGGACAATAAATATATTTCCCTGCCACTCCGGGGAACCCTGTGTGAATGTGAGGACTATTAGGGCCCTGTTTTAGTTCCAAATGGCAGAACCTGCACAAACGGTCAGAGGGTACCACATCTGCTGACTTCCTCTTTTGTTTGTCCTTCTGTTGTTCCACTTTCTGTTTTATGGATTCAAGTTCTTGTTGAAAGAAGGGTGTTGACATGAAATCCTCAAAAGACATTTTGGGGTTTGTGAGGCCCTCTGCTCCATATGTTTTAAATACTTTTGTGGAGCAGTAGAAGTACCTAACATGCCCACTCTGATAAAAATAATGAATTGAGGAGCCATCATTCATGTAACGGGACTTGGGTTGGCCACATGAAAGGCAGGTTTTTGTCATTTTTTTCTTTTGCTGCTGTTGTTGCTCTGACTGTTGCTGCTTTTCCATCAGTCCCAAAACAATTTTCTCTATGGCAGCTTCAGTAAGAGGAGCATTTTGTGTGGGCAGTGCGGGTGGGTTCACAACTGCAGGTGGGAGTGCTGTTACAGGGACACAGGTTGTGTCACTACCCATGGTTAAGTGCTGCCACAGTTGTTGGGTCTCCAAGAGCTTTTCAGGACTGGTGTTAAGGGAGGAACTGGTGTTTTTTAATTTGGCCAGGTGTTTAATATACCTTCCAATGTGGTGTTTGGTGGTTGGGTGAAGCAGGCTGTTGGGGTCTGCACATGAACTTTGCACCATGGAAGCATAGTCAAAGTCCACCAGTTTCAGCATGTCCTTCTGTCCATGATGCCTGGCAAGCAGACCATCAATAGCCACCCTCATTGGGCCAGGCCACCGATTGTGGTCCAACACAAAGACCCGGCCACCAGTCTTGATAGGCCCCGTGCGTGCACTTCTTGGTGAGGCGGTCATAGGCAGTGGAGGTGTGCAGGGCAGATCTGAAAGAGAGGAACAGTTCTTCAGTGAAAGTAATTATGCAGAATGCATGTGTCTGCAAGCATATTTAGGTGCGTGTGACTGAGTTAGTGTGAGAGAGATATGCCTATGTTTGTGGTATTATTCTGAATTACCTATGTCCATCTGGGGCTCCTCAGTGCTTTCTCTCTTTAAAGCCTCAGTAGCAGGAGCTGCAGAATCAGGAAATCTGACAGTCGGCGGCAGCTGTGTTGCTGAGGGTTGACATTTCTCAACAGGGAGAGGGGTCAGGAATACGGACATGTCTGTCCTCTTCTGAGATCTGTGCTTTTCCCAGTCGAGAGGAACAGCACGGCACCCTTGCTCAACGTACTCGAGTCCAAACCTCTCTCCCGTGTCCCTGTTGGAGACTTGTAGTGCTGGATATTTGGCGCTCCCCGTCACATTCACAGAGGCCATGTTCAAGTCTGTGATCAGTAGTGGGTCAAACACTGCAGGCAAAACCACACCCGGCTGTTTGAGATCCACCAATCTCTGGAAATTCCAGCGTGCCACACCAGTCATACCCTGGGCCTGAAATAACTCTGGGGAGACTTTGTTCCCAGTCACCCACTGAGCCTGGTGGAAGTGGTAGCCCTCTTGCTGTGAAGTGCCTCTGATTGGAATCCACACGGGCACAGATGCCCCTTCACCCTGGACATGGTTGAGTTGCAGCGTGCCACCGTATCTGTACAGAATCCCATCCTCCCGTTCTGGGTCACTGAGACAGCCCCTCAGCATGTGGACTCGCTGGATCCTCCAGGCTTTCAGCATGGACGGTTTGAAGAGAGGGATGTCATTTACATCTTTTAACAGGTGGAAGTGAAGGAGAACTTCTTCCACTCTCTTCACAAGCTCTCGTGGCTGAGGGATCTTTGTCCTGCAGTGCTCCCGGATATGCTGCTTTGTTGGATTTGCTGGCACGATCCCACAGAAGACATAGGCCTCCTTCAGTCTCTTCAGATCCTGCTGATCCACAATTGTGAAGGCAGCCGAGAGGAACTGACAGAAAGAGCTGTATAAGGAATGATGCTCTGAGACACACTCCCGGCAGAATCGTCTCATACAGTGGAACAAGTCCAGCTTTACAGAGATGAACTCATTAAACTTTGACCTCGAAGCACAGATGTTGGTCAAGTCCCCGGATGTCACCTCTGCAACAGTAGCCTCTGTAGTCCTCCAGGCTTCCCTCAAAAGGTGCTCAGCTGGATGAGAATTCTGGACCCTGAAGGCTGCACAGCAGTCCCTATGTACAAAGAAACATAACAATGTCCAGAAATAGAAGAGGATTAAAAAAAAGTTACATGATTAAATATATAATGAATTTTCTTCCCTATTTGAGATTTAAATGAAATTATTAATATCATTAAATAACATATGTAAGCTGAAAAGGCTTATACAATTGTTAAACAAATTATATAATAAATACCTGTCCACCCAATGGTAATTGGCCTTTTCAATTCCAGCAGCAGTGTAGCGTGTGGCCAGACCTTCATACATGGGCTCCAAAGACCTTTCACTCTCGGACTGCACCATCACCCAAGAGATGATCATCCAGTTCTCGTTCATCACAGCATAAGATGACATTGTGCCTGATGTAAGAGTGACTTTCCTGGCAATCTTCCGGGTGTGGTCGGATCTCAACACCTGTCCAAATGTGCCCTGTAAGAGCTGCGTGATTGATGGCTCCTGCCTCTGAAACTCCTGCAGAAGACAGTCTGTAAGGTAATATGACGACACAGACATTCCACACCAGCCGTCTGTGTCTTCATACCCCCCAAATGCAGCAGGTGTACTGTCCCTCCTCAGGTATTTGCTGATGGTGCTCTGACCATACAACCCTGCCTCAGCATCCTTGATGTTCTGCACACTTAGCAGGTAGGCCAGGTTTGCTCTTTCATACTTTAGGTGCATCATCTCCATCAGCTGATTGGCCATGTCATTTGGGGATTTTGCAGTGCGTCTTAATTCATCTACCACAGATTTACAGATCGCTTTCTTGTAGGTAAGGAGGGCTGGCAACATGTTGGTATACCTTTTAGGGAGCTTTGCCAGCCACAGAGGATTGTCAGCAAACCAATTCCTTTTGCATGCTTTGCAGCAAAGCCGAGATGCAAACAAGTAATATTGATTGACAATGCCAACAACCACTCGAGGCCTTCCTACACCTGATGAAGTTATCTGTGGTCGAGAACAACTGTGAAGACATGGGAGAACATAATTGTTTCTCAGCCTTCCCATGATGCTGTCATTCTCTGGTTTCCAGATGAAGAATGGATGTAGCTGGAAATATTTGGGGGATGGAAGCCCACAGGCAGTCTCAATGAGCTCAGGCTGAGGTGGTAGACGCCACAAAGAGACAGAGTTAGTAAGGTGCCTCACAGGTGGACTTCCCGGCCACAGTCCCATGGCTTCCAGCTCCATCTTCATCCATACCTTTTGCTGTTGAGAGCAGTTCCAGTGAATCATTTCTTGGTCATATCTGGGCAGTGGAAGTGAGGGTGGAAATCCAGGGCGTGTTGATGCTGGCGGCACAGGCTGAGATGCAGGGCGTGTTGATGCTGGCGGCACAGGCTGAGATGCAGGGCGTGTTGATGCTGGTGGCACAGGCTGAGATGCAGGGCGTGTTGATGCTGGTGGCACAGGCTGAGATGCAGGGCGTGTTGATGCTGGTGGCACAGGCTGAGATGCAGGGCGTGTTGATGCTGGCGGCACAGGCTGAGATGCAGGGCGTGTTGATGCTGGCGGCACAGGCTGAGATGCAGGGCGTGTTGATGCTGGCGGCACAGGCTGAGATGCAGGGCGTGTTGATGCTGGTGGCACAGGCTGAGATGCAGGGCGTGTTGATGCTGGTGGCACAGGCTGAGATGCAGGGCGTGTTGATGCTGGTGGCACAGGCTGAGATGCAGGGCGTGTTGGTGCTGGCGGCCCAGGCTGACGTGCAGGGTGTGTTGGTGCTGGAATCACAGACTGAGGTGGAGGGTGTGTTGATGCGGGCGGCCCAGACTGACGTGCAGGGTGTGTTGGTGCTGGAATCACAAATACCAAAAGGTAAAAAATCAACATGTAGACTACAGTGATTACTTACTTATAGTACACTTATTTCACAAATACACAATTGAATGACCTTGTAGACTAAATATATCATACATGCACATGCACAGAAATTCAGAGGACATGCAAAAAGGGAACTCAAATGAACACTTACCCTCATGGAGACGGAGGTTTTGATGGACATGTTGTCATGAACATGTCCTTTTGATTTTGTTAGTAGAACACAAGCAAAATAACAATTAGGAACATGGCCAGAACATAGCCAGAACAAAGCCAGAACAAGGCCAAAATAATAACCAAGGTATATTGTTAGGCAGAATAATTCAGTGAATAGTCCTGCCAAACTGATGGAGAAAAACCTCTGCCAGTAGACACAGATGGTGCTCCTACAGCTGCTGATGCTGGTGAATCTGAAATAAAGTTTAACATACACACACATGATCTTGGTTGCAAGCAGTTACATTACAGTTTACAATGAGTAGATTTGAAGTAATTTGCCTAAAGTAGCAACGATACACAATAGTTAATGTAGTTGTCAAAATAGCTAGAAAATAAGTGACAATAATTCCTCACAAATGTAGCACAACTATTTGTTGAATAATCCTTACATTCCTAACTCAAATGGAAACTCAGTAAAATGGTTATGTGTTTAAAAATACATAGAAAACATGTTTAACTCAGAGCATGGTCTGGATTTTGGAAGGTGAAATACTCAGTATAGCTTTCTCCAGGAAAACTTCATTCATCCATTGCTATGCAATAAAACATAATGAAAACCAAAAAAGATATATGATGCCACAAGCAATATTTTTCAGATGATTTGTGTTTACTTTTGACATACCTTGGGAGTAAGGAGTTGCAGTAGAGGCTGGTGATGTAACGGTTGATGGCAATGACTCTTTTTTCATTAGCAGGTACTGCTGCAGTTTGTGCATTTTTGAACCTGTACCACATTTCCTTGACATAATGAAGAAAGCGTACCCATCAGCTCTGCTCTCCCATATTTCTCCCCATGTACTTTTGGCCCGATTACCAAAGCCAACCAGAGTGTCACAATCTGAGGTCACAGCAGGAGAATTCGTTTTGTGAGACTCAAACTTTGAAAGCTCCTCAATATCTTTGAAGCTCATGGCATATTCCAAAAAGGACTGCAAACTGATTTTGCTGCTCCCCTCTGTACTGAAATGGCCTGCCTCTTTTTCTTTTTCCAAATTTTTGATGAGGTACATAGTGTATCCAACATCATTTTCCAGCAGCCACCTGAAGGACTTGCCTCTGTACTTCCCAAACATGAGTATGTACTCCCCCAACACCTCAGCTTTATCTGACACATCCCCCCCTCTTTGTAAGACAACGCTGATGGCATTCTTCCTGACAACCTCTTCCTTCAGAGGAGCAGACTTGTCCTGCATAGAAGGGTTGTCTTTGATCTTCTTGGCGGCATCAGAGGGGACTTGTAGAAGGTAACCTAACGCGCCTCTCCGAAAGGTAACTTGGACCTTGCCAGGGAAAAACACCGAAGGCCTGTGTGACATGTTAATCTAAATGATGAAGCAAAGAGTAAACAAAATTAATTATTTAATTATTTTTAATGATACCTTTCAGGCTAATGTACTAATTATACAGTACAATGTATAATATACACACACAACCTTCAACTATACAGATCTATAACCAATCCCCAAATATACACAACCTCATCTGGACAAACCAATACCCCTCCCCACATATACACTGGACAACACTTGCAATAGTAATTAACAATTAACAATCTTGTAATTAACTTTATTATGAACTATAGCTTTCAGACTATTCTGTAATATCTATACAGAAATAGCTACATCATTTAAGTGACTTATTATGAACGCATTCACATTGTATAATTCGTGAAAACATAGAATACTTGTTTATTTAGATCGCGCTATAATACTTACAAATATATATGAGAAACGTATAGTTTCCACAAGTCCACGTTTCATTCAGATTACGTTCTAACAAAATTACTCTGAATATCCGCTGTATTTACTATTATTGCATTATTAAAAGATCCGAAGACAAATAAAAAAAAAAGACAATCGATGATAAAGAACTCATATTTTGTATGTAAAAACACGACTTACCTTTGGCAGTCCTTACGAATTAGAAGCTGTTGTGTGTCTGACGTAGCTAAAACCGCTAATGTAACAAAACGTAAAATGCTGAAATGTAAAAGAAATTCACCAATCAGAAAAAGTAAATAAGGCTCAGATGAGTTGTTCCCGGGTGTTTGTTGTGGTTCGTTGTAATTCGGCTATTATCTTCGCCACCTCTTGCGTAAAACCTGCCACAGCGCCTCGGAGGGCATACGTGGCCATACATATATTGCATCCGTAGTGGTTTAGCACTACCATAGGGAATGAATGGGAAACGCTTTAGGGCACTTTAGCTAAAGAATCCTCGGCTCCCGCGCGGGATTTTGATCTGCTGAACTGTATTTGCACTTGACTGTTTATGGATGAGAAGGTGAACTTGCCACTTCCAGAAAGTTTAGTGGGAATGCTGCTTTGCCATTTATTGCTTAGATCCTATAGGTTCACTCCAACCCGAATCTAGTGCATCTGTTTTACTAATTAGCTGGTTGATAAGTAAATCCGGTTAGGTACAGCTGGGGTTGGAGAGAACCTACAGGAAGGTAACTAAATACAGGGTTGGAGAGCCCTGACCTAGGACATCAACAGCCAGCCAGGGTTTTATTAAATAAGCTTATAGATGGGCACAATACTTTTTCTTGCACGTTTAGGGCTAATTAAACTGACACATTTGGCGACGTTAAACTTCACTGGCGCCAGGAAGAATAGCTTAGCGATACTCATTGATAGCCTGCCTAATACTGTAGTTTCCTTACAAGTTTTGCACGTTATTCGATACTAAAAACAAGCGTAAGCACATGGAATTTGTGTCAATGAGGCATTCACCCATAGGCTTTAAACCGTGAACATGCTTGAACTAAATGAATGGAAAATAACTCATTACATAGTACATTTACAGAAGCCAATAACAATTAGCCTAGACGTCAATTAAAGTCAAGTTATCATCAGGGTGGGAAAAATTGTAACTGAAATGTATGCAGGGCTGTGGGTGTGTCACGCTCGTTTTTAGACTGCTCGGACCAAGATGCAGCGTGGTATGCGAACATTTTAATATAACTGAATACAGATCAAAACAAACGAACGTAAAGTTCTGCATGCTACACAGCTGCTAACCAGAAACAAGATCCCACAAACTAAGGTATCCCAATCAGAGACAATGATCGACAGCTGCCTCTGATTAGGAACCACACCCGGCCAACATAGAAACACAAAACCTAGAATGGACACCCCAAATCACACCCTGACCTAACCAACTAGAGAATAACAGGGATCTCCAAGGTCAGGGCGTGACAGGGTGTGAGGATTGTCCGACTGATTAAAAATGGTAAGATGACAGACTACTACAGTCAGGATAGTATAGCTGTTATCCTAACATACCTAAGACATTTAGTACAGTCTTCAATACATTCGATTAATCAAGAGTCAATGACTTGACACCATTATGGTAATTGAAACTGCCATTACCTATCAGGAAAAGCTGCAGAGTAAGGCTTTGTCTTAATGCCACTGATGATAAACACCAACGTTTTGTGTCAATTCCTTTGTCGTCAATATAATTGTTAACATTGTCTGTAGAAGTTGCAGAAACTAAGACCTACTGTAGCTATGTAGGCTACCAATTGTCACTCATCAAATAACAAAAAAACAGACTGACGGTATGAGAATACATTGGTCATATTATAAATTAAACTACCAGATGCATTTCTCTAAGAAATGTGAAAACGATTAGTTACCGGAGTGTAACTCCAGTTCTATGAGTGGAGCGGAGCCCCATAGGACTTAAGGCCCTACCGACCCTTTCTAGTCTCGCTGAAGATAATATCTCGGGAGGCAGATTGAGGGAACGGGGTTCCTTATATAGGGACACCTGTACTCCTATTGGCTGTAGGTGTGTGCATAATTTTGCTTCAGGCTGTTCTGCCCTAGGGCAGAGGGTAAACCACTAGGAGCATAGCTCCCCTATGGGGCTCCGCTCCACTCATAGAACTGGAGTTACACTCCGGTAACTAATCGTTCTATATCGTGGAGCTCCGCCCCATAGGGGAGCTATGCTCCTAGTGGTTTAAGGCGGAGCGAAACGCTCCAAAATGTACTCCCTGCCGAGCCTAACATTTCCCATTAACAATGAAAAAAGGTCAAGCCCAGCAATGGCTGCAACCAATTCCCGCAGTAATGCGACTAAAAAACCCATCAGGGCGTCACAATATACTGCGTCATCAGTTATAGACCCGCCCCATCTAGCTCAATGACAATGTCAATGGCTATTGGGCAGATCAATAGAATAGACGTCCTGCTAATCTGAACTAGCAGATAGCCGTGCCTCAATATTCTATGATAACACTCAATACATGTTTCCCCATGCTGACACTGTCAGCCAGGAGA